TCTTCTTTTTCCTTTTTGAGATATGGTTTCCCTATGCATGTCATGCTGGTCTTGAAGTCACTTTATAGCTGAAGCTGGCTTCTACCCCACAGCAGTCCTCCTGCCTCAGCCTCCTGAGTGCTGGGATTATAGGTGAGCTACCATGTCCAGCTGGCCCTTCTATTTTATCCAGCCTACTCACATCAGGGTGGGACACTCTTAGTCCTGCCCAGAACTGTGCCACCCAATCAGTGGGCTGACTTAGCGATCATATACCCTTGATTTCAGCACTACACACTCTGGATCCAGCCACCTCAGAACAAGCCCCTCTATGACCACTTGAGGCTTTGGGGGGACATCTAGACATGAGCCACAATTGCCACTAAGTTACTACCTCATGCCCCTCATTCCTTCTGTGTCAGTTATTAATTTAAGGAGCCTTGACATAGGGGTACACACCTGTAATCCCAGTGTTCTGGGAGGCTGAGACAGGAGGATCACAAGTTGGAGCCCAATCTGCACAACTTAGTGACTTAGTGCGACCTTGTCTCAAAATAGAAACTAAAAGGTACTGGGATGCAGTTCAGTGTGAAGGCCCTGTGTTCAATCCTTAGTAAAAGAAAGAAAGAAAGAAAGAAAGAAAGAAAGAAAGAAAGAAAAAGAATTGTGGTAAACTACATGAATTTAAAATCTTCCATCCTAACCCTTCTCAGAGCCCAGGTCAGCAGTGTAAAGGCCATTCTCTGCCATCTCCAGGGCCCCTTCCACACAAACACAACCTCTGTCTCCCCACCACTCTGCCAGCTGTCCTTCTGCGCTCTGACTCTGTGGACTTGACTACTTCAGGGGTTCATGGCCAGAGAATAGTTGTTCTTATTTTGGTGTGTGTGGGGATACCTGGAATCAAACTCAGGACCTCACACTTGCCAGGCAGGCACTGCTCCATGGAGATAAACTCTGGCCAACAGTTGCTCTTTCCAGATTGGCTAACTTCACTTAGCGTAGTGTCACGGAGGCACACCCCAAGTCAGAAGCGCGCTCCTTGTTTACCGTTTTATGATGCAATGTATTTCGTCTTCCTCTGAGGGTGGACACTAGGGTTCCCCCACTCTGGCTGTGTGAGCCTCGGTGCTTTGAGCATGGGTGCAGACTTG